TGGTAACAAGTTTATCAAACGTACAAACCCCCGTCCAATCCTCTAGATTTCAATCAAATTTCCCGCTTCGATGCCTCCCCCCCCCCCCCCCCCCCCCCCCCCCCCCCCCCCGCTGCAGATAACATTTGTGAATTTTACATCAGTATTCTGAATAGCAAATTAAAAATTAAACATTTATTACCATCCACTTACAAATCTGTAGTGAACAAAATGTATCCACATGGTAGATTTTCTTTTTTCCAACTGTACTGAGGTAAATTTATATATTGTAAAACTCCACATGGTAGGTTTTTAGAAAAAAACTTTTTTGTTTTTAAAGGAAATTGTTTCTCTGATTATCTCTCCAAATACCCCTCTTCATGGTCCTCATTAAAAAGATGAGAGAGTACAGAAAAATATAGGACTTGCTCTTTTCTAGGTGAGCCTTCGTGCAGATCACTTTAGGACAGTGCTTGTGTGTGTCAGGCATTGTGGTGGGTGCTTGGGTTAATAAGTGGGTACAGCATGGCTCCTACCCTCAGGAGCTTGGCATTCAAGTCAGGGACTCAGCATATAAGATAATCTGTTTCCTTCTCTCTTCTTTGCCCACCTGAATCTAACCATCCTTCGTGAGCTAGTTCAGTTCCCAAACTTTTCATGAAATCTGCACCAGCCCAAACTCCCAATGATACTCCCTTTTTTTGAACTTCCTTTACATTATTTAGTAATAGAATATATACAGTTTTACACTTTTGTCTCCTTAATAGGATTTTAAATTCTTTGTGAACAGGAATTATTTTCCTGTTATCTTTAGGATCTTATTAGCACATAATGCATTAGTAGTTTCATAGTAGATGCTGGAAGTACTTGCCGATTCTCTTGACTCTAAGGCTTTTCAAGCTACACTTTTCTTTAAAAAAAAAAAAAGAAAGGAAAGAAAAGAAACACAGAGATACAAACGAAAAATATGATAAAAAGAGAGCTTGCTTTTCCTCTTATACAACTGCCAGGTATTGGTACTACTTTTGACTGTTTACAGGTAATTTGTTTTTGGGGAGAGGGTATCTTTCAAGTGCTAAGGAAATGTGTCAGGGAAAAGACAAACTGTTTGCACAACAGTGAAGATAAGCAAGCTAGCTCATTTAGTGGCCTAGCTATTTACTTACAGTCTCCTCTCTTATAGATACTGCAGGAGAAGAGGCTGGGTACGATCCACACTCATTATGTCTGTTCCACAAACAAGTACTTCTAAAGGGAAAGTCATGCTTAAAGAATACAGTGGGCGCAAGATTGAAGTAGAGCACATTTTTAAGTGGATAACTGCTCATGCAGCTTCACGGATCAAAACCATTTATAATGCTGAACGTTTGAAAGAAGAATGGAATAAAAGTGATCAATACTGGGTAAAAATATACCTATTTGCAAACCTTGACCAACCCCCAGCTTTCTTCTCTGCACTAAGCATAAAGTTTACTGGAAGGGTTGAGTTTATTTTTGTAAATGTGGAAAATTGGGACAACAAGAGTTATATGACAGATATTGGTGTATATAACATGCCATCATACATACTTAGAACTCCTGAAGGAATTTACAGGTATGGAAACCACACAGGCGAATTTATATCCCTTCAGGCCATGGATTCGTTTTTGCGCTCAGTACAACCTGAAGTAAATGATTTGTTTGTTTTGAGCTTGGTTCTAGTTAATCTTATGGCTTGGATGGACTTATTTATCACACAAGGAGCTACCATAAAACGATTTGTGGTTCTCATAAGCACTTTAGGGACATATAATTCTCTATTAATTATTTCCTGGCTACCGGTGTTGGGCTTTTTACAGCTCCCTTACTTAGATAGCTTTTATGAGTATAGCTTAAAATTGTTGAGATATTCCAATACAACCACGCTGGCCTCATGGGTCAGGGCAGACTGGATGTTTTATTCTTCACACCCAGCCTTGTTTCTTAGTACATACCTTGGACATGGTTTACTAGTCGATTACTTTGAAAAGAAGAGACGGCGCAACAACAACAATGATGAAGTCAATGCCAATAACTTAGAGTGGTTGTCAAGTCTGTGGGACTGGTACACCAGCTACCTCTTCCACCCGATTGCTTCTTTTCAGAACTTCCCTGTAGAATCTGATTGGGACGAAGACCCCGACTTGTTCTTGGAGCGATTAGCTTTCCCTGACCTTTGGCTTCACCCTCTGATACCAACTGATTATATAAAAAACTTGCCAGTGTGGCGATTTAAATGCCTTGGAGTCCACTCTGAAGAGGAAATGTTGGAAGGTCCTCAAGATATTGAAAATGACTCAGACAGTGAGAGCATAGACACTTTTAGCAGCGAGAAGGAAGTATTTGAAGATAAACAAAACGTAGTTCACAATTCTCCAGGAAGAGCAAGTCACTGTGATCCTGAGGCTTGTTCATGTGCCAATAAATATTGTCAGACCAGCCCTTATGCAAGGAAGGGGCGGTCTTATGGATCATATAGCACTAATGAAGACATGGAACCTGATTGGTTAACTTGGCCTACTGATATGCTGCACTGTACTGAATGTGTTGTTTGCCTAGAGAATTTTGAAAATGGATGTTTGCTAATGGGGTTGCCCTGTGGTCATGTGTTCCATCAGAATTGCATTGTGATGTGGTTGGCTGGGGGCCGACACTGTTGCCCTGTTTGCCGGTGGCCTTCTTACAAAAAAAAGCAGCCATATGCACACCACCAGCCCTTGTCAAATGATGTCCCATCTTAACCACGTGCAATTTGTCCTTTATAAGCTTTGCGTATCCTACAGCTTGCCTTTTTAATGTTAGTCACCAAGTTTTTGTGGTTTGACGTTTAATTTAATGTTAGTGCAGTGACAGGAAATATACATTTTGCTAACGTTGATGACAATTATTTGGTTGCCTTGTGTGTCAATATGAATGCATACTTAAATGTAAAAATTTTTATTTACAACATTGGAAATTCAGAAGTTAATGTCTTTTTGTAAGCACAAAAGAAGTATGATAGAAGTTTATCCTAGCAAGACTTTACAAGGTAGGACCAAATTCTAATGGAATTGAGGGAGTTTCTTATCCTAAATGTTTCCTCCCTTTTTACAATCTGTGTCCAGCACCTCTTGGTTAAATAATGTATGCTCTGAGACATGAAATTAAAACAGACCTATGAAATAAATTATTTTAAAACCAGAAGGTTACAGCTTTTTTAAAGTTGTTTTTGATAAGGTGGCTGAGTGCTAAAAGTGTTTTGCTGGTTTGTTAATTTCACAGGTAAGTCAAATATGATTCTTGATTCGTGGGGGTAAAAACAAGACAAATTACGTTGCTGACACTAGCCAGAGGTGATGTTAGCTTTGGTTAGCTTTGTTGGGAAGGAATTTCATGATGGGCTTTTCTTAAAGTATTAAATCATTTATGAGTATATTCATGTAAATAAAATCAACTGTAGCATATTGGCCACACATAGATTACTTTATATATTTTTCCTGACTTTTTATTTTGAAAAAATTTTTAACTATAGAAAGGTGGAAACATAGTACAATGAACATTCATTTCTCTAATTCACCAGGTGTTTACATTTTGTTATATTTGCTTTATCTCCTCTATGTCTATAATCTTTTTTTCCTTTCTCTCTCTTTTTTTTCTTTTTTGCTGATCCCTTTGAAAGTAAATTTCAGTCATCATGATGCTTCTTTGCCACTAAAATGTATCACCATGTAACTCCTAAGAACAAGAACATTTTTTATATAACCACCACACCATTATCACACCCAGGAAATTTAACATTGATTTAATAATATCTAGTATACAATTTGTACTCCCCAGTTGCTCCCAAAATATTCTATATCTTTATATGTTTCTGTTTTGTTTTTATTGGGAACTCAGGCAAAGTTTATGATTGGGCTTAGTCTCCTTTGTTTCATTCTTTTCTCCAGAGCAGTTCCCCTGCCCCTCCCCCTTTTTTTTTAAAGTCTTTTCTGACATTCTTGAAGAGTACAGGGCTAGTTGGCTTATGGAATGTTCCACATTTCTGGATTTGTCTGAGCGTTTCTTCATGATTAGATTTAAAGTAAACAATATTGCCTAGATGATACGTATTTCCCTTCTGTATGACGTCAGAAGGCACGGTGATGTCAGTTCATCCCATTGTTGGTGATGCTAAATTTGGCTAAGATAGCATCTGTCTTATCTTTGCAGTGTAAGGTACTTTCCACTTGATAATTAAGAAGGAACCTGTGAGGCCACGAGTATCCTGTTCTTCAATAAACTTTAACCCAATGGTTTTAACATCTGTTGATGATTATTAGCCCGAATCAGGTATTAAATAGGAGTCGTGACTTGGAGATTTTTAAATTCTATCCTTCATTCTACATTTATTAAGTGGCATTTTTTGTGTGTGAAAGAAGAGCTTTCCATTTTTTCATCTTGTGCTTTGAAATATCACTATAGACCCAGATTCTTTTTATATTCAGTGTGTTAAAATTCATTATTCTTTTTGATGCTCAAATCATCCCACATTTGGTAAGTGGGAGCCCCTCTAAGCCTATTTACATCCCTTTGTGATCTTGAAACACTTCTTTGCCTTTTGACACAAGGTATTCCAGGCTCACTTTGTATTTTTCCTGGCCCAACCCTGTAATCAGTCATTTCTTCAAAGGGTCCAGGTTTCATGGGGGACTTTAAAACCCTTTATTGACTGCCCCTCAAAATGGTAAGAAAATTAAATTTTCTCATTCTGAATTGCTGCTGGATTACTAGCAGAAACATTTTTTCCCCTTCACGATACACTGAGCCTCATTTTCACAGTAATGGGAATAGTAAGGATTAGCAGTTACTTACTTTGTATTAATATTTGAGAGCTTTTAAAAATTTTAAATGAGTACAAACACTACTCCTTGTGCTCTAATTTTCCTTTCAAAAAAAAAAGTAATCATGTTATCGTAAATGTTTGTGTTTCTCAGAGTTCTGCCACTGTTCCACAGCTCTTTTCTCTCGTATTTTCGGCAGATGTCCCAAATCGACATGTCCAGGCAAAGGCCCCTCCCCAGATCTTCAGTTTCATGTACAGCTGTCTGTTGAACAGCTCCTCCGAGATGCTCTTAAGTAACTAGTCTCAAAACAGCTTTTCCTTCTCTCTTCCTAACCCCCAGTCCTCCTCTTAAGGTCCTGATTTCAATTCATATGTATAATATTGTCCATTCTGAAATGTATACCAAGTATAGATATTTTAAGAGGTAATTAGGGGGTTTCCCTGGTGGCGCAGTGGTTGAGAGTCCGCCTGCCGATGCAGGGGACGCAGGTTCGTGCCCCGGTCCGGGAAGATCCCACATGCCGCGGGGCGGCTGGGCCCGTGAGCCATGGCCGCTGAGCTTGTGCGTCCGGAGCCTGTGCTCCACAACGGGAGAGGCCACAACAGTGAGAGGCCCGCGTACAGCAAAAAAATAATAAATAAATGGTAATTAAAATTTCTCCTCCAGTGTCCCAGGGCACAGCGCACTTTGGAGACTACAGGCATACCTTGGAAATATTGCAGGTTTGGTACCAGTCCACCGCAATAAAGCAAATATCGCAATGAAGCCAGTCACAGGAATAATTTGTTTTCCCAGTACACATAAAAGTTATGTTTACACTGTACTGTAGTCTATTCAGTGTGCAATAGCGTGTCTAAGAAAACAATGTACATACCTTAATTTAAATGATACTTTCTTGCTAAAAAATATGTTATCATCAGAACCTTTAGCAAGTTGTAATCTTTTTGCACTATAGTACTAGCCCCGAAGATAAACCAGGCTCCTTAATGCTGGATTACAAGGCCCCTCATAATCTGTTCCTGGCCCACCTCTTGGACCCATCGTGACACTCTGTACTGCCTGTCTCTTCAGGCCCGTGCTCTAGTTTTTCTCAGCTTGGTGCTTTGCTGTCCCATCTGCCTAGTGTTTTCACCCCTCTTCTCCGCTTTGTCTGGCTAGATCCCACTTTCTCCAGAAATTCTACACCTCCTACCCATCTTTTCTTTCTCCACCAAGCTTATAAAGAGACGCAGATATCTTTACAGTGAAAGCTTAGGTGGTAGTCACCCTACTCAAGTGATCAAACTTAGCATCACCAATAATGGAGCAACCCCATCGCTCCTTGACCTCTCTTGATATGTGTCCTTCTTATATCCCAGTGATACCTTGTACAAGCCTGTCCTACATAGCTGCATTGTATTAAAACTATGCATGTGTCTTTTTCAGGTGAATTCCTTTAAGGTAGGAACTGTGCTTTATTCATTAAATATATCAACATGCATGGCATAAAACAGAGATTATACCTTTTGAATGTTAGACATGCAATAAAAATATTACAGTGAGGTCAGGGAGGAAATAATTGCTAGAGGTTCAGGTCTCCAGGGAAGCTTGACTCATCCCTTAATTGTTAAGCATAGCAAACAATGCTTTTGTCAGATTTTCCTGGAGGCAGAGAATTGAAGGAAGTATTCAAGGTTGACAGACTCTAAACTTTAACTGTGTTTAAAAAGAACCTTTGAATTCTTAGAGCCACCTAGTGAATTTAATCAACTAAAGATTCCACGGCTTCCCTCGTGGCGCAGTGGTTGAGAATCTGCCTGCCAAGGCACGGGACACGGGCTCGAGCCCTGCCCTGGGAGGATCCCACATGCCGCGGAGCAACTAGGCCCGTGAGCCACAACTACTGAGCCTGCGCGTCTGGAGCCTGTGCTCCGCAACAAGAGAGGCCGCGATAGTGAGAGGCCCGCGCACTGCGATGAAGAGTGGCCCCCGCTTGCCACAACTAGAGAAAGCCCTCGCACAGAAATGAAGACCCAACACAGCCATAAATAAATAAATAAATAAAATTTAAAAACAAAAATAAAAGGTTCCAAGTACGTGGGCTTTCTAGTTAACTGAACTCTGGTTAACTGTAATAGTGGGACACGTAATTGTGTTCTGCTCAACAGTTTTTTCTTCTGTCTTCTCTAATTATTTCTTATGTAAGTCTTTTCTTTCTTTAAGGATGATAAGCTCCCTGAGGGCAGGAGTAATTGTAAGGTCGGATCTTAACAAACGGTACCACGAAACGGAGGAAAGCTTCTGGTGAGCTTTATTAGGGAGCGCTCCCGGGCGAGGTTCGCTGGTCCGAGAGAAAGGGGGCCAGAGAAGTCGCGCCCGGGCGAGGGTTGGGCAAGATTTTATAGGGGAATAAGGGAAAGGGGTGTGGTGAATCCGGGAGGGCGCAGGGTATTCCTTATTTGGTGGTCTTTTCAGGTATCCTGGGGGACCGTTGGTCCCGCCCCTCGAAAGGCAGGAAGGCTGGGCTGGTTTCGAAGTCCCCAGGTCAGTTCCTGGAACTGGGTGGTCCGGAATGTCGCCAGGGCAGTTTCTGGAACTGGGTGGTCCGGAGAATTTCGTTCTGATGCAACCTGTGAATCTGATTGTGTTCCCCTGCCTCGGGCCAGTTGGCCTTACAGTAATGTTATAATCTACTGTTATGTCTTTAACACATTAGACCCAGAGTAGATAATCAATAATTGTTTGCTTGAATTTAAAAAATATTTTCTAATTTTACCCTTTACCAAACATTTTACTCCCCATCTAGTATAGGTGGAAAAGATAAAACGGAAGAGATTATATTTTTAGTACCCATTAATAGTGACGAAGATATCAATATTTATGGCCTACTCCAAGAAAAAAAATCTTAACTTTTTTCCTGCAGTAACATACTTTTTAAAATTATCTCTTCTTTAGATTATGTGGGAGCCTGGAAGATTATTCATGTAATCTTTCTCCTTGCTCCCTCATTTTCCCCCTTGGTCATTTTATTATTCCTTAAAACTCTACCAAAGGGTCAAAAGGTACGGAGAGAAGTGTTGAGTCCTTTTTGCTATTGGATCTGATTAAAAATTTAGAGAAGAAAAAATGGATTTAATTGTTTAAATGTTACTTTTGAATCATCTGTGTTTTGATCATTCTGCTCTTGCTCTTTGTTGTCAGTAATATGAGTACATTGATCAATTTAGGCAATCTCTTTGTTTAATTTTTTGTACCATCTTCTCACCAAAGGTTTTCATTGTTTTGTATACAGTAGATCACTTTACTTTCTAATACTCTCTAATATCCCTATGCAACAGGTAGAACAGAAGGAATTCCCACTTAATAAATGATCAGAGCTCAGGACAACCACCGTAGTTAAAG